AGATTGTCCCCTACAACCATTTCTTCTATGAGGTACTCACTACTCACCCAAACCAAATCTAAAATGGCATCCCCTCTTGTTGGTTCAGCAACTACTTGGTGAAGGAATCCATCAGCTATCGCATCCAGGAAAATCTGAGCCCTATTATTACTACTAGCACTTGTCCTCCAGTCTATATCTGGGAAGTTAAAGTCTCCCATGATCACACAATTCCCATTAGTATTTACTTCTTTAAAAACATTAAAGAAGTCTCTATCCATATCCAAATTGGATCCCGGCGGTCTATAGCAAACCCCAAGCACTATCCCAGGGAAGCTCTAGTAGTTTATATTTAAAAGAAATCAAGAGTAATCCTAATCTGAAACATTGTTCTTTCAAGTAATTTCTGCTTAGCTTTTCGGGCTCTATACCATGGAGTTAGAGACTGAGAAAACTCGATTGTGTGGCAGGTTTCAGAAGTAACTTATGTGATGTGAATTATATTAAAAAATGGCAAACACTTTTTTTAAGTATAAAGTAGTAGAAATCAATGAGAATTGTGGCTTTTTGTCATCATGGTAAATGCTGTTGCTGCATGTATGCACAGTGAGCAGGTAAAATATGTGCTCGTTACTGCATTACAATAAAGGGAAAACCAACCTGCACTATGCCTTGCTCTAGCAGTGCCACAGGTCCCTCATTTTCATGAGCACTGAAATATTCACCAAGCTTAAATAAAAATAGATTTAAGGGACATCATCAATTTAAAAATGTAATTTCTTTCTGAATATTTTACTTGTTACAAGAATCATTGAGGATTGATGTGATTGAAAGGGAGTAGAAGAAAATAGGTTTTGTGCATTTGACAAAATAGTTACATTGTTTAACAATTTTCCCTGTAAAGTTGATCAGTTTCCACTTTGGTTTGTCAGGCTATTTTACATTTTTTTTAAAGAAGTAACATGTAGAGTGGGGCTCAGGGGCAGGTAGACAATAATACCTGAAAGTACTTTTAGCTAATTTAAAAAAAAAAAAAACTGACTAGCACTCAAGTTGATAGCATCGCTTCAAGAATTTAATTTTTAAAAATGCAATGATTTAAAAAATCCATATTAACTGAAAAAAATAAACTAAATGCTCAAAACTTCATTAGCCCGGAGTTGTTTGCCTTCACTTGTGCCCTTTCAGAATGTGGAGTGTGGCTAACTTAAACATCTGAAAACCCAGAGTGCAGGGATAAGGATATATTCCATCCCAACAATACAACCTTAACTGTACTTTCACTGGAGCTGGCAGTAGGGTAGTGCAAAGGTTAATAAACTGTCAATGGAAGTGGAGGATTCTCCATCTTTTGATGTCTTCAAATCAAGCCTGGATTATTTTCTGGAATATGGTTTAGTCAAATACAAGGCATTAGACTCAATGCAGCAGTAACTGGATGAAATTCTCTGGCCTGTCTCATACTGGAAGTCAGAATCTATGTTCTAATGGTCCTTTCTGGCCTTAAAATCTCTGAATCTACAGTAAGTAGATCTGAGAAAAATAATAAGACATGCTTAGTCCTGTGTTAAGTTCCACAGATTTGACTTCTGACATTTATCTGCATGGACTCCAGCTATATTCACTGTGTTAGGTGTACTTGTTTTGAATGATGGAGGGATAAATTGGAACAACTTGGTAGAGCTGTGACTGTGATATAAAGAGCGGTGCAGGTGTACCTTGAGGGATCAAGTATGCTTCATTTCAGCATTGAGTTTTGTAGATTGTCAGTAGAGTTGCGCCAGTTACCTTGTCATGAAGATTATCAGCGGTGTAATGGCATACATGACAGTGGTGTCCGGGGCTTTGTGAGGGATAAGGGAAGGTAATGTCTCAGAACAAATCCTCAGGACAAGGATGAAAGTGTGCTAACATTTTTGCAAATCTGGGGTGGTTTGTGTGGAGTAAACTCAGTGTTTTAGTGTAGACCAAGGGGAGGTAGGTAGTTTCCTATACCTGATGTAAACCCAAGGTTTGCCTTGGAAAAGAGAAGGTACTAGACTTTATACTGCTGTGCTCGTATGCTGTAGCATCTATGGTGTGAATGTATGTAATTGGTATGCTGAGGAATTGCTCTAAAAGAGCAGAGTTAAGGTTGCATTGCAGGGGTCGCATGTACCTTAACTTCCCAGGTTTTCAGAGGTTTAAGTTTAGCCATTCTCCACATTTTGGAAGGGCACAAAGCATGACTGGGTAACATTAACTCTGCCTTAATGAAGTTTTGGCAAAATTAATTTCCTTTTGAGTTTAAAAAAATAATAATAATAATTTCTCAGTGTGCTTATGTACCACAGCCCAGCTCTCCACCTCCATTGCCTCTGTCTCCTTGGCAGTGATTACCCCAGCCGCAGAATACACTGGCCGCATGTTAGTGTCTTCAGTGCCCCTACATCATCTCCCCATCTCTCTGTCTGCCTGGCACAGCTTGGTTCTCTCTCCTCAGCCCTCCTGTCCAGGAGAAGCAGGCATTAGCATGGGACCTGCAGTTTGAGAAACTGGGGAAGAGATGCAGCAACGGTGCAAGGACTAATGTCGAGTCGGGAGGGGGGGGCATTTTTTTGAAGGGAGGGGTGAGGTCATCAGAGGAAGGATGATCCAGTGGTTAGGACTGGGGATTTGTTTCAATTCCCTTCTTCGCCATAGACTTCCTGTGTGACCTTTGTCAAGTCACTTAGTGTCTCTGAATCTGTTTCCTAACTGTAAAATGGGAATGATAGCACTTCCTTACTTCACAGAGGTGTTGTGAATGTAAATACGTTAAAGATTGAGGCACTCGGATACTACAGCGATAGGGGCCATGTAAGTACCTATAATTGATGTTAATATTGATGGTTGGGGGCGGGGAGGGGCAAAGCAGAAGCCACTCCAGTATCACCTGCTGCACACCTCTGACCCCCCTTTCACTCCACTCTTTCCTGCACTACTCCAACCACCCCTCACTGCTCCAACCCCCGTATTCCTCCAAGCTGCTCAGACTCTCCTATTACTGCTCTGACACTGCTCTGTCTCCTCCAACATTACCTCCATATGCCTGCTGCTTTGAGCCCTTTCCACACATTTACCAGCTGCACCCTTCTCCTTGGCACTCCATGCCCCTGGTGATCTTGGAGGGGCTATAGGTAAGTGGGAAGGTGATGGGGCTATGAGGATTCCATGTATCGGCTGAAACCAGGAAGAGGCAGGTGGGTGGAGAAAAAGTCACTACCCCAAATCTCGCCCTAGTGTATGGGGAAGAGGCTCTAGACATCCATCTTCAGCAGAGGATCCAGATCGTGTCTCACACATGGTGAGGCAAGGACTCAGACTTCCCCGTGAAGGGCAGGAACTCCCCAGATCCTGGCTTACATGCAAAGTGGGAGGGACAGGGGCTAAGACCCCCCCCCTGAGAGGCAGGAGCCCCCGGCTCCTTGAGCTCACCTTCTAGCCCCCAGCTGTGGGGCTGTGAATGGGAGGCATCTCCCCCATCCCCACCTTTCTGCTGACACTACCTGACCCAGGCAGGGCTAAGGGAGGGGAGAATGTGGGGAAAACCAGTATTTGAATTATCCTTGGCGTGTTTGGTCCCTCAGTAGCTGTGCCAGAATACAGACCTAAGCTGAAAAGCTCCCATCCCACCCCCCATATTCCTTCACTGCTCTGACACACACACACACACACACACACACACACTCCCCAGCTGTGTCTCAACAAAGTAATAAGAATTTGAAAAATTTGTGAAAAGCTCCTGAGAATGAGTTGTGTAGTAGGTACCTCTTGACCAATGACACATTGACTTGCTATCTTTTTGATCACACTCAGTTACATTGGTCAGGAAACAGACAAAGACTGACTTGTGATTTAGTTACTCTGTCTAGTGGTCTCTCATCTTCTCTCTATTTAATTAATGGTAATTTCCTGGACAATACTTCTAAAGTAAAATCAGAATCTGCATGTGGATTTTAGAGCAATTTAAAATATTGCTCTTAAACCAGAAACATTGGTCTTGGTAAAACTTCCAAAAGCAGCCCTGCAGAATGCAGGCAAAGAGCAAGGATGTGCACAACGCACCTTCTCTGAAAGCTGCCAAGGGTGGGGATAGAACTCAAAATGGATGAGTACAATGAACACAACATGTTTTCTGAAGCCATCTAGTTATTGTGACAACAACCTGCCTCGCACCCTTGCTGCACACGTGCATTTCCATCTCTTTGGCTCATCAATTTTGGCAAAAGCCATTCTGGAGATCTAAACTCTGTCAATAACTTTTTCAGTATTGTATTGAGTGGGTGTCATGTGCTAGCTAAATTAAATGTTGAGTGAATGAGATCAGTTTTGGGACTGTTGGAGCCATAATCTGAGTTCCAGGTGTGTGCAAAAAAATAAGATTTTGTAAAAAGCTGAGGGACTGTATCTTGGGGGGACTCACCTTGCTCAAATGATCCCTTTATGGATTATTAACCCTACTCTACAGGCCCATGTGGCACAGCAAAGACAATCCAAGTAGGCATTGGATTTTAGAGCATTCACAATGGTCAACCCTTAAACAAAAAGCCATGTTCAACCTTAACCATATTTCAACCTTAGCTATGGCAGAAAACCAACTCTTCTGTAATTGCAAAACCACAGAGGTTACTGTGCTCAGACAATAAATGTTTATAATACTCCTTTTGTGTCAAAAGTGTATCTTGACTTTTTGATGACTGTAGGGTTCTTCACAGTATCTTCACTTTTACTGACTCATAGTGTTGTTACTTAATTATTGCGGACATTCTTTAGCAATAGTGTGTATATGTATTTTTAGTTAAGTTTTTCTGACCACTTGATGGTAGAATATTATATCCAGCATTAACAAGAACAGATGTGTATTTGTTTTTAAAAAAAAATCAACTGATATTTTAGTGATAATGATGGTTTTACATGCTGTGAAAATGACTTTCCATATAATTACATTCACTTCAGTCAAATTCAAAGTTTTAACTGTACTTTAAAACTTTTTGCCACAGCGTTTTACCAACGAGGATCATTTGGCTGTCCATAAACATAAACATGAGATGACACTGAAATTTGGTCCAGCTCGTAATGACAGTGTCATTGTGGCTGGTTAGTATATACTTTTATTAAGTTATCCATCTTTCTCCTGGAATGTGCACAAATTTTGTGGGGTTTTATACATGATATAACTTCTGTAGACTGGTGAAAGAAAATACCAAAGAATTTCTGTATGGTGAAGGTTTGCAACATGTATTCATTATCCATTACATTTCTATCTAAATCACCTCTCTTCACATGGTATATAATAAATACAGGATTGTCAATATTGCAGTAGTTGACTAACCTATGTAAGCATTCATATATAAAAAAGCACATGCTGTATAACCTTTTATGTCTAACTTCATCTGACACTTAAACGCTTCCCCAAGGTCTTGGTTGCCCTTATAGTTTACACGTATGTTGAAATAGTTTTTTTCCCCTAAAAATACTACACATTTTACAGACTTCAGTTGTCTCAAGAAAATCAATCAATAGTATTGTAAATATTTTAAAATAAATAAGTTGTTATAAAGAAGACAAGTCTTTTAATTTTGTCTAAGTCAAAACTACTTATTTGCAATATCTGAAATCAAACTTTAACCCCTGAATCCCTTTGCCTTTCTTGGTCAGTCAGAATCTTATTTTTCTTATTATTGTTTTATTTCTTAAAAAAAAAATTCCTCTCTAAATTTATTAAGTCTATGGCTCTTATAGACACAGACCAATCATGAATGGACCATTAGACTGTAAATATTGTTAAGTAAGCTCCTCTTGAACTTCTTGGGGATAGTGCATATACTACACCATGGATATAGTCAAAACATTTTCCAGTGGTGGAGCAGTCTAATTTAATTGTACAAATGCACTAGCCCCTCTTTCCAACCTTCCGTTATTCCAAGTTGCTAATTTATTAGGAGAGACAGACAAATGGAATTCTACAGTTAAAAAAACTGGCAGACTTTTAAATACCATAAATGCTCTCTGCAGTGTGTGCAGTTTGCGGGGGAGATCTATCAGGCAATCAGGTGAGTGGCAGTGAAACAATAGAAGAGTTCTTTATCTGCCTTCCCAAGCGTGCTACAGTACTTCCATGATCTTTCCCCACTATCATACATGAACTCCCCTTGAAATTAGTGAAACCTTGTGTAATGTTATTTCCTATATTTATAATACATACTGTACAGTATAACAGCTTACTTTCACCTGACAGTGCATAAATTCTAAGTGAAATAAATGGGAGTTTCCATACTATCCAAAATATAAATTTAAAATGAGTACAGAAGTCATTCACACAATAGTCAATGGAAGTACTGTGATTTTAGTTTTACTATGCAAACATCTTTTAAATCAAAAACGTTTGGGATACTATCTTCACCACACTTTGCATGTAACTTATAAATGACACAGCATATGAATAACAAAAGCAGTAGTCCCTATTGTTGTTCACAATAAAAGAAGAAATACAAAACAGGTCCACGAGTCCATCAATGCCACTTTCCCTTGGGTTTGAATTGTGGGGGGCCCTTACATAACAGCAACTCTCATTGCTGTTTGAAAATAAAGCTTCTTTCTTAAAATGATCCTCTCTGCTAATCCAGGCACTTAAGAGTTGTTCCTTCAGCCAACAGATGGAGACAGAACTCAGACTTTTGATTACATCTTCCCCTGTATCTATACCATGAGGGACTGGTCTACAAACCTCAGTTGTGTCTCTCCAGCAGGTGGAGCAACAGTACCACTTCTGGCTGGCCTGCATGAAAGAGGAAAAGAAGCGTGCCTTGGAGGCCTAGGAAACTTTTTGGCCACATGCCATATCTCCCTTTCCAATCTTATCCCTGGGGTTTTGAATGAGAGAGTCTTCCTAATTACCAAAACTACAAGTGAATGCCACCTTCCAAAAGTTAACAGTTATTAATGTAAATACCATATTTTTATCTGATTTTCTTTATGTATGTAACCATTCAAGCCTCCATTGTAGCCTGCTACTTACAAGTGTGTATATGAAAGTGGAAAGTGACAAGGTAAGAGGGAACTCCACTCAACAGAAGAGAAGTCTAATTAAAGGCTTCCCTCTGATAGCAATCTCTGCTGACCCACTGGTGTGTTTTGTTGGGTTTTACACCTATTAATTTGTACCAGGGCATAGCAAAGTGTGCCCTCATCAAAGTGGGAACTAGCATTCGTCCATATTGTTTATTTATAGTGTATTATTAAAATAACGTTAAAACTCTAAGAAAATTGGCCCATGTATCTGATGTCTATTTTTAATCTTTTAAATATTTTCAGATCTAACTACTCTCTCCAAAATAAATGGAAGCAAAACCCACATTATGAAATAACTGATAGCTAAGTTGTTTAATAAAACAATTTTAAGAAAAGCTAGCACAGAAATATTCCAAAATGCCCAAAATATTATTTTTACACACACAGTAAAAATATATAAAGTATTTTGAATTAAATTGCCAGAAAGTTTTGACGAGTTATATGCCTGCTTTAATTGAAAAATTATTTAAAACAAATGAGTTTTTGTAACCTTAGCAATAGTGGTTTTAGGTAGAATGGGCTGCAAGTCTTTATAATTAAAGGGGAAAGTTGCATCTTAAATTTGTTTTTAAATAATATTAAAGAAGAGCCCTTAAACTGTAGCACAAACTTTATTTTAACTAGGTGGTTGTTTGCTTTAGTGTTAACTTTAGGATAAATAACCAAAGTAATTAAAACTTGGGCATTGGTGGTATTTTCATATTTTTATTTTGAAGATCGTAAGAACATGTTCTTACTAAATGGTATTTTGGAAAAAAATGTTTAATTTCATTTCATTTCAGATCAGACACCAACACCAACTAGATTCTTGAAGAACTGTGAAGAAGTGGGTTTGTTCAATGAGCTAGCAAGTCCTTTTGAAAATGAATTCAAAAAGGCTTCAGAAGATGACATTAAAAAAGTATGTTGGCAATATTGGGCTTAGAAGTTACTATATACAATATTTTTGTTTTGGTCTGGAAGTATTTAGTATACTGAGAGATTTGTTTGTTTTGATAAAGCAGAGGAACCATGTTATACTGGAATGTATGCTTTAAAAAAAATCAATGTTCTCATTATTTTGTTTTTCAACTTTGAAATGCATCAGTCATCAACATAGCAGTGTAGGTATGTGTTGTATGGAGAAAATACAAATTTAGGCCCCAGTCCTGCAAAGACTAACACACCTGTTTGTTTCATTTTATACCATGTGGCTTTAATTGGCTTTACTATTGTCTTTTAATTATTTAAAGGCCCGATCCACAGTTTGTTAAAGTGAATGGGCACCTTTCCATTGACTCCAGTGGGCTTTTTATGAGGCCCTAAATGAGTAAATGGTTCTAAAAAGAACCCAGTTCTTACAAGGGGAAAAAATATATAAATAAAAATCAGGTGGAAGGAATAACTCTTATATACTTCAATTGTTTTGAAGGTATACAGATTAGACAACACTTTAACAATGTACACATTACTAATATTCAGTTGTTAAAATAATGAGTTAAACAGTGGTAATCAAATTCAGAAACTAAAAGTGAAGTATGATTTGAGAACAGATTTTACTATTTTAACTTCAGTTAAAATGACATTTAAATCTCTTTGACAGACAAATCCCACGTGAAAGACAAATGTTGATAACAACCAAAACCACCACACTTGTTCTTCTTGTACAAATTGAATTTTGCGTAAACTTAAATTGAATCCATTCCTAGTGAATTTTATTTAAATACATTTAGATGTGATGTCTTTCATTTTAATTCCTTCCCATTTATAAATGCTTAGGGCCCAAACCTGCAAGCACTTGTCAATGTGAAAAACTTTACTCATATAAATATAGTTATTCAAATGTACAAAGGTATGCAGGATCACATCTTTAGTTTTTTGTCTCTGTGGAGATAGCAGAGGCATTAGGAATATAATAGAACCTTACCGAGCCCTAAAAAAATCTGTCACCTGCCATTTTCTGTGAGTCCAACACAGCTCCAAATGATGGCTCCCACTAATAGATTTCTTGCACCATTATATGTAGCACTATTGAGCCTGTGAGTACTTGCAGGAGGTTTCCAGAGCGCTCACTGCCATCTCAAGAGGCTACAAGGATCAAAGAATTTTTAAAACTTCTTTGCAGTTTCTTCAACACTGCTCTTCATCCTCCCAGCTGACCTTCATGTCTTAGGGAGGGATATTGTACTGTGATCTCCCTGAGTGACTCCTAAGGGCAGTGATCAAAGGAGAATGGGGTTAATAAGGAGTATCATGTGGGAGGAGTTATCTAACTGCATTTTCTGGTTTTCAGAGGTTTTATTTTCTGGCTTTTAACTTCCATGTTCTGGAAGAGTATAGGGAGAAGGGGCACTCCTAAACAATTTTCTTTCTCTTCAATGTAGTTTGATTGTCTCTTAAAAGAACCAGATAGAGTATAATGAAAGGTAAAAATCTTTCTCGAGAGAATTATTTTCCTCTAAGGTATTTTGGCAGATGGGCTAGTTTGCAATATGAGTCAGTGGCTAAATACTCTGGACTTTCTTTTTCTTTAACCAGTATCAGTGATACTGGTTAAAAGATATTTTTCTTAAAGGAATTCCAGATGTAGTCCTCATGCCTTTAAAAGTTGTTCTGTCAGATTTTAACAATGTGAAGCCCTTTGAGCAATTAAATATATTTTTCCCATTCTCTTTTTAAACAATTTTATCTCTTTCAATAATTATTCAGTATATTTGTTTGATAACATTTTGTCCCTTGTAGCTTTTGGAACTTAAGGTTTTCATGTCACACTTGTGAGTCTAATCATTTGCTTGGTAACAATAAAATTTAATAAGCATTGCAATGTAAGTTCATGATGTGAGTTCAAAATAGAGTAGAAGTTAGGTTGTGATGGAGGGCAGTTATTCAGAACAAATCTGCAATCACACTAAAGAAGACAGAAAATTACTGGGAAAGAAAAATGAGTCTTGTGTGGTTTTTGGGTTTGTGTGTTTTTTTAAGTTTTGCCCTAGGTTGAGATTTCCTCCTTAGGCTTCCATATGTTTTGAGGCTTAAAGTGCTTTCAAAGTTTAAACTTTATTCTTAGCAATATAATTTAAAATTTTAGTATGTTATGTGGTAAAGTGGTATTTGAGATTTTGAGAGTTCTCCATTACAAGCTACTTATGATTGAATTGAACGTGTAATCAGTTACAGACAAGAGCCCAATACAGTGTGATTACATGGTCACATAATTGTCCTTATTCTCAAGTTGTTAGAATCAGTATGGCCAGCTATAGCATTCAGAGTATAGAAGAGAGCAGGCCATGCAGAAACCCAAAGGACCGAAGATAATACAAGGCAGGGACAAGGGGCTTTCTGCAGAATATGGCTATCTTGTGAAGCAGAATACCGTAGGCTACATTCCCAGCTGTTAACTTCCTACGGTTTTCAGGAAAGGAACACTTCTCCTACAGAACTTACAGGGATTGGCCTGTACTTTGGCTGGCCTGAGGACTTGAAAGGAGAGGAACCAGACATCTGCCCAAGGGACTGAAGGTCATGTAGAAGTGGGAATGAGGGGTAGCTTAATGAGCTGGCTCGGCTTTAGATGGCCTGTGCTCCTTGAGAACAGAGCCTCTACTCCATAGGGCTGATACTTTCCCCAGCTGCTTATTTTGTTTTTACATATTATAATTTGAGTGGCTAACAGGTTTATTTGCATGTTTACTCTTTTAGATGCCTCTAGATCTATCTCCTCTTGCAACACCAATCATAAGAAATAAAACTGAAGAGCCTTCAGTTGTGGAGACAACTCATCAGGATAGTCCTTTACCTCATCCAGAGTCCACTACCAGTGATGAAAAGGTCAGGAACTTATTTTTCTGGATTCAAAACATTTTTATAAAGAACATTCACAGCAATGTATTTGGTTTTGTATATATTTACTAGAACTACTTTGGTGACCTAATTGTTGATAGTACAGTGATGGCAGTCATATTGTAAAAGATTCAAAACCTTCAACCCTTCAGGTAAATTTTGCTTAAAATAAACATTCTTTATTCTTCCCACTGGTCCTCCAACAAATTTAGGAGAGAACAGATTTTTCCTGATATTTCTTCTTCTTGTCTTAGTCTCATCTACATGGGTTCGGCTCTTTGAGTCCTTCTCCATTCCAGCCTTATAACTCCAAGCATTCATCTTAACACTAATTTCCACTGTATTCAAGAACTGCCCCTGGCTCTTCCTCAGGGTCCAGCTCTCAGAATCATACAAAAGTGCTGGCCCAATTACCATCTTGTAGATCTTACTTTTCAGTTTGATAGGTGTTCTTTTATACAGATCACTTCACTCACTTTTCTTCATTTAGTCCGTGACTTTCCTGTTCTGTTTATAAGAAAAACAACTTTTTTTAAAAAGAGCATCTTTATACATCATAAATAGGGCTGCAGATTTGTCACATCTTTTTTTTTAATCAAAAAATCATGGCGCGATATTGGTAAAGTTAGTAAAAGTCACAGGTTTAGGGACTGCTTTGTGATTTTTGTTGTTGTTGATAAATGCCTTGACAAATGAGGGGGCACTGATCACCTGCACCAGCACGGTCCCAGCACCACAACCCTAATCCTGGCCTAGATAATGTGATTGTGACTGTACAGATGACCACATAGTTTACCTTTTTTTGTTTGTTTTGCCAGGATACCATATAAATTCACAAAATGTCCATTTTCCTCCTATTAGCCTGACATTTTGCCTGCCTTCTTAGGTTCTGCTTGCTTTTTAGTTCCCCTCTTTCCCAAAGGGGAAACAAATGTGTTTCTTTGCTGGCTATTATACTTCTGTTATTTAAAAGGATAGAATGGGAGGCAGGGAGAAGGGATAACTTTCATGATTCAGTGCATCAAGGATGAGAGTGTGACCTGAGCCACCAGACCTTTTCTTGCAGCCGAATGGGCAAAGCAGCTGAAGCAGTTGCATTATCTTGGGTAAAGAAGACTTATAGGAGGAATTTGCTGCCATCTGGTGCTTGTAAACTGCTCAGGATCACAGCTCCACTCTTGCAGCACTTATGAGCTCTTCGTGGCAGCCACATTCTCCTTCTGCACAGCTCCTAAACTTAATCTGTGCAAGGTTACCCTTTAGTAGATCTACACAGCAGATTTCTTCCGCTGCAGTCCTCCCCTGGTTTCCCACAATGAAATGCTTCACGCCTTTGTTCAAAATCTGGGAGAACTGATGAGCCATGCAACAAATGTAGGTTGTGTTTGGCTCTTTGGTGAGGAGCAAGTTTCAAAGCTAAATGTCTCTTTATTGAAAAAGCCCCGCTGCCAATCCACTCCTATTTAAACTAGAAATGCTCCCAGTTTGACCACTTCTGAATTCAAAAGGCACCATAGAAAGAGAAGCAGTCTTTAGGCAGCTAGGTCCCTAACTATTCAGGGCATTATCAGTCCAAATCTACAACATAAGCTTCATTCAGAAATCAAATGGAAGCCAGTGCAGCCTATAGGGTAATATGTTCCCTAAGTGAAATACCATTTAATAAGTGGACAGCTGAAATCTGTACTAATTGAAGGTTTTTTTCATAGTTTTAAAGTGTAGTCCTGAGTACAGCAGCAATCAAATCTGACAAAGGCATAAGTAACTGGAAAGGCCTGCATCCAAAAGGAAAGATAAAAGCCAAGTCCAGATAAAGTGCTCTGCTGCTACCTGTATGTACCTCCAAGAGCAATAGAGGATCTAATAAGGAACAAACAGTGGGCATGCTTCCTCGATCGGTGGAGATAATAATCTTTCTCCAACCCGCAAATATCACTTTTATCTGATCTTGATTTGAGTCGCAGCTAACGGGTTTTCATCTTAGCCCTGTCCTGGTTTGGTTAACTGCTCAGCTGCCCTGTCCAGAGAATTCATTTATTATGTGCTTTCATTTTATTGAGTATTTATATTCTATTTCAGTACAATTAAAGGTTATTGAATTTAGTAATAACAAGCATTACCATATAATTTCCAGTTTGCTGCATCATGCAGTGCTCTCTCATTAATTTTGGTTGGAGGCTAGTTGCCGTGTACAGTAGGTAAAGTTTATAGGACAGTATACAGGGTCCCATGTTAAAGGTAATGGCTTGTTTCATTAACTTCTGTGACGTGCTTTGGGATCTTCAGATGGAAGGTATGTATAGACGTGCTAAATGCTTGTTTAATATTTTCGTTGAATCCTAATTGATTGCCATTCTCAGATTATGACAGTCACATCCTCAGTCAGTTCTGTTACTTGCCTGGTTTACAAGCACAGTGATCTATCTTCTGTGCTCAAATCTTTCTTTAAGATTCAGTCAAGAGGTAGGCGAGGGTATTTCTAAACATCTTGAAAGACTGAAAGAACTGTAGAATCCTGGGAGTATTTTTCACGAGAGGGTCCTAGTTAAATAAGAGAAATTACTTTTTAAAAGGAGCAACAAATGTACATAGTTTTTTGGTTCTTACTGATTCCAATGGCCCTTTTGTTTCAGCTGTTATATAAACCTAAAAGAAATATTCATTTATATTTCTCTTTGCTGTATGTCAGGGCATACTGAAAAGCTCTGTTTACCAAGAACTGATGCAACTGGTAGCATAATTCTGATTGTCAATTCCTTTACCCTGTATCTATTACTAATATAAACCCTGACAGCATATTGGAGCAATATGTCTCATAGCTCAGTAAACTGGTGTTGAATTTGTCCTAAAATTGTGATGAACAGATACATTTCTTGATTTTGTTTGTCACAGCCTTAATTATTGAGCCTATATTTTTGGTGAACTTATTCAGTTTTTTAAAACAGCATAATTCATTTCACTCCAGCAGTCTATAAATTGGTTAAATGTTACAAAGATTGCTGATTTTTTTTCTCTTTAATCTATGTTCACTGCACAATCTTTATTGATGGTCTGTAATTTCAATGGTTAATTTTCATTTTTCCCATAGGAAGTGTCACTTCAGCAGACTGCGCAGCCTACATCAACAATAGTTCGTCCAGCATCACTGCAGGTTCCTAATGTATTGCTAACAAGTTCTGACTCAAGTGTTATTATTCAGCAGGCAATACCTTCACCAACTTCTAGCACTGTCATTACCCAGGCTCCATCCTCCAACAGGCCAATAGTGTAAGTTATGTGATAGTAAAATATTTTATTACAGATTTCTAAAAAGATTTTGTCTAGTTTACAAAGTACTTTTGATCACTTTTTTCTGCAGTTTAATAAACAATGTGGCCTCCAGCTCCATATTCTCCAACAGTACAGTGAGTTTACATTATAACTATGTGAGACAGTTATGTCAAACAGAATTACTGTTAAATGTACAGAATGTGGATATTATTGATACCTTGTTAAAATGACAAATAGTTTAAGCTGTATTAAGTTTGGACAGGGTTACACCAAATTAATAATGTATCAAACTTTGTAATAAGAAACGTCAATATCTTTCAATTCTGCTGTGTATTTGTGTCCTTTTAAAATATTTCCTCCTCTTTGTTTTTCTTAGACCAGTACCAGGTCCTTTCCCTCTGCTGTTACATCTTCCTAATGGACAAACTATGCCTGTTGCTATTCCTGCCTCAATCACAAATTCTAATGTTCATGTCCCTGCTGCAGTTCCAGTAAGTTTACACATGACCTATTATACATTCTTAATTTTAAAATAATGCAGACTTGCATAAATGCTGCTTTTTTTTTTTTAATTTCAAACACTGACATTTAAAAAAAGATTTTTGGACTTGATTTACTATGATGTGATACATATTTTTGGCAACTATTGTAATTTGTGCTCTGAATACTCATTAGAATAGTATATCTTTATCATTCCAAATATTACTTAAATGGTTAGAAATACTTTAATTACTCTGAAAGGGTAAAAAGCTGCTGATATACCTTAAGCCTTAGAACTTAGTTTTACAGATTTTGGTAGCTGTTTTGATTCTAGTGGGCAATGCAATCATATAATTTGTATTATGCTAGAATACTCAAAGATTGTTTTTCATTTTTATGACTTTCCTGGTCAGCTTGTTAGACCTGTCACCATGGTGCCTAGTATCCCAGGAATCCCAGGGCCCTCCTCCCCACAGCCAGTGCAGTCAGAGGCAAAATTGGTAAGTTAGAATTCCATTGATCTTCAAGAAGGTTAATCTGAAAAAAAATGTTATGTCATTAATAATTAGGTCTTACTACAGATGTAGTTGTTTGACTTAGTAATTGTTACCATGCAGTATAAATTTTATTTTCTATGGACCTTGATCTTACAGAAGGCAAGCTCTGTGCTGGAATCTCAATGCTAGAAAATGAGAGCTATCAATGTGTTTTGGTTTTATGGTAATTTCAGATTCTTGTATGATTGTTAGCACCAGGACTAAAACACATTTATGAATTTAGCAGCACCAGTGAAATGTACTCAGAAGAAGACCAGTATTTTAACTGTAAGCTCAGTCTCGCGCCTCATGGTGAAGGGTAGGCGTATATGTGGCTTTAGGAGAGGGAGGAGACACAAGCTTAATATCACTTCAGCAGTGAACCTTGCCTGCTAATAGAAGCAAAATTGAAGAACTGCAGAGGTAAGCCCATACCAAAATGGTGTGAAGCTTCTTAGCAGAAAAGACTATAGGAATAAAAACCAGGCTTTACCTAGCAACACACGTCTTAATATTCCCAGCTGCTTATAGTCTCTTCTTCCAGGCATGTAACCTGATAGGGTTTAGTGACCAATGTCACTAAAGAGACATTGGTATGATAACCAAAAAGGGTAAAGAAAAGAATCAGTTATATAAATGTACATTAGCAGGATCATAATAATTATAGTTTAAACTTTAATTAATCACTTCCAATAAAAATGTGTATCTTCTCCAATTTGTTAGCTAGTTGCTTCAATGCTTTTTTATCTAACTTTTCTTCATTCCATCTGTTCTTGTAAAATGGAATGGGAAATATATGAAAGAAAAATTAAATAAATGTCCCCCCGTGTGCATCCATAGAAGAGCTCCACAGACTGAATCTGTCTTGTAGATTACGTGCATTTAACTTAGAATAGTATTACATTATCCCTGACACTCATTTACTTGTATTTAAAAAATTAAGAGGAGAATCAGGAGCAGTAAGTAGATAAAAATATTAGTTTTAAATGTGAAGCAGTAGGGGGGTTTAGGGGCAATAGCACCCTGCTAGGGCACTTTCATGGCAGCAGCAGGAGCAGGCAGCCCAGTTGCTATAGCTGCAGAAGCCACTTTGAGACTGTATATATAGCTGGCAGGGGGGATGATGGACCGTATAGAGGGATGAAGCCCTTAAAATCCTTTATTAATGTGGGGAGAAGGCTGGGAAGTTCAGTCAGTGAACTTTCTTTTTGGCCTCCACTCCAAACCCTAGTGTATTCAGTAGTGAGGAAGGGTGCAGGGGTACCCCAGAGATGGGCAAGGACCCTTTCCACATCAAATATCTGTCTGTGTGAGGTGAGGCTGTTGGACACATAGAAACCCTTTTCCCAAAATGATACAACCACTCTCAGGAGTGCGTTGGCCACCAGTGAACTCTGAGTAGAGCTGCGAGCTACAGTCAGACCTACTCTCCCATCTCTGCTCCCTTTGGTGAGTTGGCTTTTGAAGTGCTGCAGGAGATGGGAGGACAGTACTAAGGGCTTTTTCTCCTCAGTCCCCACTCATCGTTCAGAGGGATTGAAAAAGGAGACCTTCATTTTCAGAGTCAGGAAAAAATAATTGTAACTGCCTTCTGAGAAAATATATTTATCTTAATTCTGGGAAAAGATTAATATAAAAAATGGGGATCAGATAAGAACAAGAATTCTATTTCCTCACCTGACTTATTCCACAGGATCAAAAGACTCCTATTGACAGAATTTCACTATGTGGAATCTATTAGAACTTCAAAACTAGAGGTCCAAATTATTTTTGTTTAGTTGGGCAAGAAATTAGATTCTTAAGAGTAAGAATAAATCATGCAGTAATATGCTTTATGAAGCTTTATTTATGAAAAAATACAAGTGGTAAAAGCTTTTGATTTCACACAGGAAAAAGCAATCACTTATAGAGAAGGCACAAAAATAGCATAAAGAAAAACAAAGATTGCGAGACTTAAAATTTGAGTCTCATTAGTTGTCTCATTAGAATGTAGCTAATATTTGCACTTCAGTGTTTGCTTATCTTCTTTAAATGGGATGGTAAAAGCATACTCACCATATTTCTTCTTTTCTTTCTTGTCTCTATGAATAAGGAATGGGCAGAATATATCAGAATTGTGTATATTAGTTGCGCTCTATATAGTGTATATTCACAAAAATAATAGAAATAATAATTTTTTTAAAGTGTAAAGAAGAAACCTAATATTCACAGAAAAATTTCTCCAACAAAAAATTACATAGGCTAATAGCTAAGAACGATATAAAGTATTATGAACAGGCAACATGGGTTACCAATTTTTAAAATTCCCATTTGATTTTCAGAATGTAAATCTTTATTTGCAATACCAAATTCTGTGTCTTTCTGGTATATTTCTTGCATGTAAAAATATGTTAAACATGAAACTGCTGCAATGTAACCTGCAATACATTTGAAATTCTGCAAATGTCAGAGTAATTAAATTTACTTTTATCATTGGTGGTGGTCTCTGTTAAACCAACAGAGGGCTTAGAATATTTAATTATATTTGATTAATATTTCCTTGATAAACAAAGTTGATGAAAATACCTTTTTAAAAAATGCTATGCTCTGGTTGTCAATAAAACTTAATAAGCAGGATTAGCTAGATATTATTAATATTGGTTAAATACTATTTCTAGGCTTATTACATATTTCTCTTAGTATATCACTATGGTTACTAGCTAGAAGACAGGGAAGCAGAATTTTTGAATTCATTTGGAACTTCCTTATTGATATTGTAAGCGACAGCTTAGTCATGTGTAGACATATTTCATTGCTGTGGATTTTTCTCATATTACACTAGGGGAATGTAACATAAATACATACTATATGTAATTGCTAAGACAACTGGTTGCCCAACTTGCTAAAACAACTGGCTACCTAACGTCAAAACAGTCTGCTGAATACATGACATTCAGTGTGACAATAAATAGGCTGTTGAACTAGGGATGATGCCTTGAAAGTTGGTAAATGTCTTGGAGGGTTGTTATCTATTGTTTGCCTTTAGCTGTCATTGGTTAAACTTTTTTGTCTTCTATAATGCAAAAACTGAAATTTCTAATCTCTAATACAGTATCTTGCATCTTTTACTGTAAGTTATATAGAAAAAAATATTATTGTAAGGTACTCTCAGTTGAGACATTCTGACTATTCCAGAAATTCAGGATGAAGTGATGTGGTGGTTGAGGCCCTAACTTCTTTGAAAAGACACATGACAACTTGCCCAAGAGGAGGCAACCATGTTCATAGGTTCCTGCAGGGATGACCTAACTTTTTGCCCCTGGGCAAAACTAGTACTATCATTCCGACCAGAGAAACAACATCTGCCATCCTCAGTAGACCAGGGAGCATAATGAACATTGTAACATTTAAGACACAACAGCAAACTACCCTGATGTGAAGGAAAGATTAGTGAGCGGCCAATACGGTTGCATCAGGAGTTCTTTAGTGATCCGGAACTAAAAGGAATCCTACAAAAAGTGGCAACGTGGACAGATTGCTAAGGATGAGTACAAAAGAATAGCATAAGCATGTAGGGACAAAATGAAGCAAAGGCACAAAATGAGTGGCACCTAGCAAGAGACATAAAAGGCAATAAAAAGAGGTTTTATAAATACATTAAGAGCAAGAGAATGATGAAGGAAAGTGTAAATCCACTATTTAGTGAGGGACAGATGGTAACATCAAGGAATTCTGAAACATTTAATGCCCATTTTGCTTCAGTTTTACCTAAAAAGGTGAATTGTGACCAGATACTCAACACAATTAATATTTACAAGAAATGGGAAGGGTCACAAGCCAGAATAGGGAAAGAACAGTTTAAAAAATATTTAGGTAAGCTGTATGTTTTCAAGTCTGCAGGGCCTGATGAAATTCACCCTAGGGTACTTAAGAAACTAAGGTCACGTCTATACTTATTAGGGATCAACGTTGCTGTGATCGATGCAACGGAGGTCGATTTAGCGGGTCTAATGAAGACCCGCTAAATCGACCACATATCACTCTCTGGTCGACTCCAGTACTCCACTGGAATGAGAAGATTAAGGTAAATCGACAGGAGTGCATCTCCCATCGATGCAGTGCAGTGTACACATCGCAGTAAGTCGACCTAAGCTATGTCAACCCCAGCTACATTATTCACGTAGCTGGAGTACCATAACTTAGATAGACTTGCTGCAGTAGTGTAGACAAGGCCTAACTGAAGCAATCTCAGAACCATTAGCAGTCATCTTTGAGAACTCATGGAAGATGGGTGAGGTTCCAGAGGACTAGAGAAGGGCAAGCATAGTACATACCTTTAAAAAAGGGAACAAAGAGGGTCTGGGAAATTGTAGACCAGTCAGCCCAACTTTGATACCTGGAAAAATACTGGAACAAATTATTAATCTTTTTGTAAAGCCCTTAGCAGATAATAGGGTGATAGGAATAGCCAACATGGATTTGCCAAGAACAAATCATCCTAGACCAACATAATTTCCTTCTTTGATGGGGTTACTGGCCTAGTGGATGGGGAGAAGCAGTAGATGTGAGATATTGTGATTTTTAGTAAGATTTTTGACACAGTTGCATATGACATTCTCATAAGCAAACTAGGGATGTGGCCTGCGTGAAATTGCTATAAGGTTAGTGCACAACCAGTTGAAAGACCATACTCAGAGTAGTTATCAATGGTTCGCTATCAAACTGGGAAGATGTATCTAGTGGTGTCTTTTGTATGGATTTAGATGGAATAAATGGGCCCAAAGAGTCAACGATGTTAATATGACAGTATCCAACATTAAAGAGTGTTAAAGAAGGTTTGGGGTCTGGTATACAGATACCACAGCCTACTTAGTGCCATGGCAAACACACCCTTAAAAAATCTTTTTCACCTTTTATTAAAGATACAGAGAGAGAGAAGGAAGGAAAAACTGGTAAAGCATTTGAAATGTAAAGTATTGGGGAAG